TACAGACCAGTTGGCTTAACTTCAGTACCCGGAAAGATAATGGAGCAACTAATTAAGCAATCAATTTGCAAACACCTAGAAGATAAGAACGTGATAAATAACAGTCAACATGGATTTCTAAAGAACAAATTGTTTCAGATGAACCTAATATATTTCTTTGACAGGGTTACAAATCTTTTGGATAGCAGGGAAGCAGTAGACATAGTATATCTTGACTTTAGTAAGGCTTTTCATACTGTCTCGCATGACCTTCTCATAAACAAACTAGGCAAATACAACCTAGATGGAGCTACTATAAGGGGGGTGCATAACTGGCTGGAAAACCATTCCCAGAAAGTACTTATCAGTGGTTCACTGTCATGCTGGAAGGGCATAACACATGGGGTCCCACAGGGATCAGTTCTGGGTCTGGTTCTGTTCAATATCTTCATCATCAATGATTTAGATAATGGCATAGAGAGAACACTTATAAAGTTTGCGGATGATACCAAGTTGGGAGGGGTTGCAAGTGCTTTGGAGGATATGATTAAAATTCAAAATAATCTGGACAAACTGGAGAAATAGTCTGAAGTAAATAGGGTGAAAGTCAATAAGGACAAATGCAAAGTACTCCCCTTAGGAAGGAACAATCAGTTGCACACATATAAAATGGGAAATGACTGCCCAAGAAAGAGTACTGCAGAAAGGAATCTGGGGGTCACAGTGGATTGCAAGCTAAATATGAATCAACAGTGTAACACTGTTGCAACAAAAGTAAACACCATTCTGGGATCCTGGGAATGGGCAAAGGGATGGATCACTTGTTCTGTTCATTCACTCTGGGGCACTTGGCATTGGCCGCTGTCAGAAGACAGAATACTGGGCTAGATAGACCTTTGGTCTGATCCGGTATGGCCGTTCTTATGTAGTAGCAGGAGTGTTGTAAGCAAAACACGAGAAGTAGTTCTTCCTATCTACTCCACACTGATAAGGCTTCAACTGGAGTATTGTGTCCTGTGTTGGGTGCCACATTTCAGGAAAGATGTAGACAAATTAGAGAAAGTCCAGAGAAGAGAAACAAAAATGATTAAAGGTCTAGAAAACAGGACCTAGGAGGGAAGATTGAAAAAATTGGGTTTGTTTAGTCTGGAGAAGAGAAGAAGATGAGGGGGGATACATGATAACAGTTTTCAAGTACATAAAAGGCTGTTACAAGGAGGAGAGGAAAAATTGTTCTTCTTAACCTCTGAGGATAGGACAAGAAGCAATGGTCTTAAATTGAAGAAACGGCAGTTTAGGTTGAACATTAAGAAAAACTTCCTGTCAGGGTAGTTAAGCACTGGAATAAATTGCCTAGGGAGGTTGTGAAATCTCCATCATTGAGATTTTTAAGAGCAGGTTAAACCAACATCTGTAGGGATGGTCTAGATAGTACTTAGCCCTGCCATGAGTGCAGAGGGCTGGACTAGATGACCTCGCAAGGACCCTTCCAGTCCTAAAATTCTATGACTCTTGGAGCTCCAGTGTTAGGTGCATGAGCAGAGAGCACAGCTTGCTGATTCAGCAGACCTCAATGTTATTCATAAGGAAAGACCAGAGGCTCGGTTCGGTGGTGAAAGGGCTCGGCCAGGTTTACTGTCAACAAAGTACAGTCCTAGCGCCCCATAGGAGCTGCAGGGACACTAACATATGTATGCCTGCGACAGTGGACCAGCTCAGTCAGTGCACTGGGACACTGCTGGACAAAGGTGCCCCTCCTATGGCTTCTCCTTTTATTCATGAATATAGACAAATTACATATTGCACTCCAGATGTGGATGGTTACCGGCCTTATCCTGGACATTCCGGGAGGGAGGGGGAGGAGTGGGAGTTAAAATGCTCGGGGAGGAGGTGGTAAAGAGGCGGGACAGGGGTGGGGACTTGGGGGAAGGGAGTGGAATTGGGGTGGGGTGAGGGTGGTGCAGGAGCAGGCAGGGGTGGGGCCAGAGGTGGGGGGGCGAGCATGATGGGGCAGAGGGGAAGTCGGCACCTATGCCTGCTAGTTCCACCAAAACATCCCCATCTGTTATCCTGTCATCCCATCCTTATCTGACTTAGGATTGGCGTGTCCCTGTACCATCTCCTAGGAATGTGTTCACGCCGTTACTTGAGAACTCTGGGAGTCCTGTACCATCATCTCCGGTCAGGAACGTACTTATTGATGTTAGCCAGTACCTGGTGCGTTGCTATATTGTCAAGGCCAGGCCTACTCTGGTTCACAGCCTTTGGTTCACACTGTTAGTTAGGCCAAGGGCTCCAGCAAGGCCTACATCATGCTTCTGTGCTGAGAGAAGACTACATTAGGGGGAAGAAAATTCTGTAACAGAATGAAAATTTATCCACATTTTAGTGATATATCATAGAATTTCTAGGGGCAGGGACTGGAAAAATCCACATCATCCTCCCGTCAGCCCTAGATAAGATGTGTAAAAAAATAAGAGCCTGGAACTGTATTAAGTATTTTGCAGAGCCTTCAACACTACTAGAAACCCCAGGCAAAGTTATAGCCAATGGAGTCTTTGGAGAGCAACTCCATTACTGGTCCTATAGCAAGATGGCTGAGAGAGAGAGGAAATGTGTAAAAAAAAATCAGTCTGAGGTTTGAAAAAGGACACAAATGTGGGGTTTTGCAGTGGTAAGGCGGTGTTCTCTCCTTGAGAATCAGGCATTTATTTGGATTTACATTCAAAAAGGGAATCCGGTCCTTAAAAAAGAAAACATGAACCACTGAGAATGTGGCCGTGTGACAGGTTTCTGTTACCAATCTGCTGGTGCCTCAGTTGATCAGGCTGAGGCCGCAGAGTTGTTTGGGGCAGAGATACAGGAGCACACCAAGTGACTAAATTTTAAAGCTTTATTAAGAAAATAATAAAACAACAGCAGTGAGTGTTGGGACTGCTCCCACGTCAAAGAAAGGAAGAAAGCGTTAGTGCCCAAGCCCTAACCCACTTTTATACTCACACATGGACAACCCAAAGCTGGCCAAGCTGGGGTGTAACATAGGAAGAAGAAGAAGTGGGGAAGGGTGGACGGGAGCTCTGCCCTGTGCACAGGTCATCCGGCGTCCGCTGTAGATTCCAACTTTCTTCCACTCTGGGGAGGGGTTTAAGTCCTGGGTGTTCCTGGGGGCGTCTCGGTCAGGGGAGCCCCCCTCATCCCCCGTGCTCTCTGCTCTTTACACCAGTTAGTCCAGGCTTTCTGCAGCTTCCTCGACTTCCCCAAAACACACCAGCTTCAGGGTCTCAAGACAAACTGATTCCCAATTCGCTGACATTCGCAGTCTTGCTGTTTTTGCAGCCCCTGCAGTTTCTGTTCTGTGATTCTCCTTTCGGCCCCCTGCTTTCTTGGCAGATAGCAGAGAATCTGTTGTGTGCAGTGACCTTGGGCTGGAACCAACCTCTTATCTTCAGGCCTAGCTGGAGTGTCAACTTAACCCATTCTTTCCCTCCCCCCTCTGCCTCCTGAAACCTGCAAAGGAACCTTCCATTCCCCACTCACTCACACCTTTAACCCTTCCCTACCGCCAATCCACTATATATTTAGAAATATTACCAAGGTATGCTGCTGGAGCTTACTCAGGGGACCCCAAAAGTAGGGGGGATAGTTCATACTGTGACAGTTGTATCCCCCCCCCCGCAATGTCTCAAAGCTCAGATATTTATTGGCAATGTCAAGCTACCGTGCAAGAGCCATTTCAAAGGAAGAAGCATCACCCGGCCATTTCTTGTTAATAGAAATGTGTAGAAGTGTGTAATAGAAGTGTGCTTAGATTCATTTTCCACTGTTCAGTACACACATCACACCCCTATATTTCGTATCCATTCACTCTGTGCGCACATCCATCCCATCGCCCCACGTACAGCTCAGCAGTCATCCCACCAAGCCAACCCCACAGCTACACCAAGGGAGGGAGAGCACCACCACACACCCTCTCCTTTACGGGCAAAGGGCAGGGGAGTAACGGCATTTCCATGTGTTCAGTGGAAGTCCCACCCCCTCCAGTAAACACCCCAGGCCTGTTGCTCCCCATTCCTGACCCCATCCCTGCTTTCCCTGAGCAAGACACTGCCATGCCCTAGTCCCCATGTCACTGGATCTCCCCCAGGATCCAAATTCCAATGCCTGGCTCCCTTTTCCTGGCCAGAAAAATCTGCCCCCAAAGACTCAACTCCCCAGCAGACTCTCTAAACAAGGGATCAGCTCAGCAGGCGAACAGGAGAGGCAAGCAGGGGAGTTTTGCAGGGCGTAGCTGTGGATCCGGTGCATGGAGGTAAAGGGACTTGGTGAACTGTGTGCTGGTCTGTTTGCTGTTTGTCTCCGTGTGGGTCGTGTGGCTGGGGTTTGGGTCCCTGACCAGGCGACGTGAAGGAAGGTCTGTCTGTGTCTCTGAGAGGGCTGTGTGGCTCTGACCCTTGGGCCTAAGATCAGCCCTGGTGTTGGACATCTGAGTTGTCCATCACCCCTTTAGCCACAGGGCAGAACTAAGCAGCGAGGCGCAGAGTATATAAGGTAGTTGCCGAGCAAACACTTGACCAGGCACTTGGGTGAGGCACTGAACCATTCAGTTATATCGTTATTTTAGCCCCATTCACTAGGATACGCTCGACAGACCTGCCGGGCCTGTTGGGTTCTGTGTATTGTGCAGCAGTTTAACGGCACTTTCGAGTAAACACAGCAGCACTAGGTACAGTATTTCCACCCCCCAGAATCCTTTAGAAAGTGAAAGCAGGATTTCCCCACAACTACTCCCCACCCCTCCAGCTGAGAACTGTATTTCAGGGTCAAACCCACCTCCGTTATGGTTGGGCTGCAGTCCGTGAGATAGCAATTCCTGCCTGGGAAATCCCAGTTACTGAATGTGGAACAACGGATCACAGTGAAACAATGGGGAGGATGTTTGGGTTTGATGTGTTCTTTCCCCCCAAATCCCCACTTACGTTCCTGATGGATTGTCCTACAGCCGCACCGGGGCAGTTGGAACCATGATGAACCCTCTGCTGATCCCCTTGACATACTTCTGTCTTCAAACCTGGCTGGGGATTCCTCAGGTAAACTCTTGAGCTTTGCCAGTGAAGCACTCTGTGTTTTCTCATGTTTCTGCTCAAGGCTATGCAGGCAGCCATACTGCCTTAGACATGCAGGGCTGGAAGGGACCTTGAGAGGTCATCTAGTGCAGCCCCCCTGCTGAGGGAGGACCAAATGCCCTGAGACCACCTTTGACAGTTTTTGTCTAATCAGGTCCCCACACCACATTTTGCAGTGGCTGGTAGGGGAACCCCGGCCCTCCCACGAAACTGGGTTCCAGTCCAGAGACCCTCTGACCAGCAGCCAAAGTCTGTTCCGTCAGACTCCTTACTGCTGCCTCCCTGGATATCTTCCTACCACAGCCTTTTTCCAGCCCGCACAGCCTCTCGCAGGGCTCCCCCGTGGAATCCCCCAACACAATCCAAAACCAAAAGAACAAATTTAAACCAATTTCTGCCTCTCTCAGGCTTCCTCTTCACCCTGCAACCCCTCAAACTCCAGTCCAAATGGCCCCTAGGCTTTACCAACACTGCCTCTAACATCCTCTGGGCCTGAGGCAACTCCCCTCACTGCCCCCAGTCTCCTAGGCCTCCTCCTGGCTCTGGGCCCTCCAGTTCTGGCTCCAGGCCTCTCTCTGCCTTTAGCCGAAGAGGGGACATCCCCAGCCACCCCAACTGGGTTTGATCACTAGTTGTGCCTAACACCCCTCCTGGTGCCACCCCGCAGCCTAAAGGGGCTCAGGCTCCTGTAACCCCTGGTTAACCAGTGTGGGGTTTATACAACCCACCACAACGGTGTTGCCATCCTCCATGTGCGTTCGGGGCTTGGATCCTGGATGGAACCTTCCCACGGGCACCGCCAGCCCTGGAGCACGCAGTGCATGGCTGGCATACGCAGATGGCAACCCACTGACTCCCCCTGAGGTAAATGGGGGTGGTTTCTAGATATTCCCGTGGGAGTGGATTGGGATCTCAGTCCCTCCTAGCCCCCTCCCTTCTATGTCCCTTGTTCCCCCTGCTTTGTCTTCTCTATTAATGTATCCCTTCCTGCCTTTCTTCCTAACCCTACATCTACACACAATATATTTATTACACTAACAAAGTCCCGGGTAAACTAAAAATGCATCTGTAATGATTACAGGGAATACTGGTCCTCAGGTGTGCCGTGCCCCTCCCCGCCCCCCAAAAAAATCATGGAGCCAACATAACATTTGCCAAGCAACACACTGATGATAGTGACTAAATGTTCCATCCCTTTCTCCCACCTTTCCTCTGTCTTGTCTATTTTGAGGTAAGCTCCTAAGGGCAGAGACCATCTCTTAGTGTGTTTGTACAGGGCTGAGCACAACGGGGCCCCGATCCTGGGTGTGACCTCTAGGTGCTTCTGTAACACAAATGCTAATGTGACCGTATGTTTCCTTTATTCTCCCAGGCAAAATGTGAGGCGCTGAACATGATGGAAGATGCTTTTGACGACCAGTATCTAGGATGTGCTAAAGAAATGGAGAAAAAAGCACCTGAACTGCTAGAGAAAGAAAAGTCCATGTCCTCAGTGTTTAGCAGGGTGTGGGAAAATGCACACAAAAAATGGGAAAATGTGAAAAGTTCTTCTCCCCTCAGGAACTATGAGGATAAGTATGGAATAGCCCTAGCAGCCTATACTGACAGCACCCCCCAAGACAACGGCGAAGCTTTTTCAACTACATTTAATGAAGCAGTGGAAAGTGCTGGGACATCTCGAGCTTATTACATGGCCCATTTCCGGTTCAAAGCCTTTCATTATTATTTGACAAGAGCTTTACAGCTCTTACGGAAGGAGTGCAATAAGGTGTACCGAGGGGTTTCTAAACGTTTTAAGTATGAGGAGGGTGACATCAGGTTTGGACGCTTTGCCTCTTCATCGTTTAGTGAAAGAGTGGCTGAGGAATTTAGTAACGGGGGCACTCTCTTCACCATCCACACGTGCTTCGGCGTGAAGATCCAGGCCCTGTCATACAATCCTCACCAAGAAGAAGTATTAATCCCAGTCCATGAGACATTCAGTGTGTCCCCCCAAGGGAATAACCGCTTTGTCCTTCGGAGCACAAACCGGACCTGCAGCCATTTTAACTGCACGTACCTGGGCGGTGAGTACTGGGCTGAACACGAGAAATATTTGTGTGGGGCTATTTGCTGTGGAGAATTTGAAAACCCCACTTCAGGGAGAGCTGATGAGAGGGACGCTGACTTGGGGATTTGCCACCAAGGCTGGGGGAGACAGGCTGCCACGACTCTTGCTGCTAGAGGCTTGGGCTGGGGTGGGTGGATGCTGGGTCCCACTCGCTCACTGAGGAAAGAAGGTGCCTAGACGTCATGGCGATGGGAGCACTAGAAAGGCAGGTGAAGGCCCCAAACCACTGCGAGTCTTCAATACAAACACGCCCCATACAGAGTCCACAGGAGCCCTGGCAGAGCAGCTGTGGCTCCTCAAACATGGCACAGCAAATCCAGAGGCTGTGGAAAAGGGAGCAGTCGGGTGGCCTAGTGTGCAGATGGCACATTATTTGGGGCAGTCAGGACTAGGGACGAAGGTGAGGAACATCAGAAAGATCTAACCGAGTTGGGTGAATGGGCAACACAACATAAGGTGAAATTCACTGACACACATTCAAGGTAATGCACATTGTGAGGGATAATTTCACTGCATTGTTAATGAGCTGTATCAACTCAGAAGGAAACCTGGCCAGCGAGTTCAGTTTAAATCTCAATGAAAATCTCTGTTCAATGTGCTGCAAAGTCTATAAAGCCAACAAAACGTTACCATGCATCTGGAATGATGGGCTGGAGAATAATGTGGAGATATTATAACTAAGGCTAAGATTTAGTTATTCTTTTTAGTAAAAGTCATGGACAAGTCAAAGGCAATAAACAAAAATTCACAGCCCCATGACCTATCCATGACTTTTACTGGGGGGGAGGGGGAGGGGGAAGAGAGGGATAGCTCAGTGGTTTGAGCATTGGCCTGCTAAACCCAGGGTTGTGAGTTCAATCCTTGAGGGGGCCACTTAGGGCTCTGGTGCAAAATCAGTACTTGGTCCTGCTAGTGAAGGCAGGGGGCTGGACTTGATGACTTTTCAAGGTTCCTTCCAGTTGAGAGAGAGAGAGAGTGTGTGTGTGTATATACACACCCACCCCAGACTAAATCTTGGGTATTTGAGGTCTCTGGGGTACCCACTGACAAGGCCATCCTTAGGCATAAGCAACATACACAGCTGTGTAGAGCACCTGAAAATTTGGGCTACCACTGGGTCTTAGTGTCCATCCTCCAGACTTTCCTATCCCTGTTCTGACCCTTCCTGCAGGCTCCCACAACTGGCTGCTGCTGCCTGGTGAGTCTTCCTCAGAGGGGATCTAGTAGTGAAAAAGCCTCCAGCCTGCCAGACCTATTAGCACAACACTGAAACTGTTAAAGGGGTAATGAAGCCATTTAACAGGCATTTGCCAACCCCCAGGTATCTACTGTCAGTTTCTGAATTTACTGACAAAAACAGTTGTACATGACTAATATTTACTCAGAACAGGTCAGGTCATTTTTAGTTTAAAATTTGCTTTAAAAAATATTTCATTAGTGAGTGGGTGAAGATTATAAAACTCACATCTCTCAAAAAATCCTTGCATAGATTTTTAGATGTACAATCAACTTTAGCCTTAAATGCTTGGATCGTCAAACATATAGTTTAAATAAATCCTTCAAAAGACCACCTTTATCTAAAATACACAAGTAGTTTTAAGAGAACCCTCCAGCAAAATCAGTACCTTAAGAAAGATATAAAATCTTTTGTTATGCCTAAAATCTTCGGAAACATTTTTTAAAGTTGGTGAAATTTCATAAACACGTCTGTTGTTATGGAGATCACACACAGTAAATTAGTGTTCCCTTTTCCCAAAAGCAATGAACATTATTATGAACACACTAAACCTCTGTGACTGATTAACTTAAAATAATGTCTTTGTTTCAGTGAGTTAAATATGTAGTCATCAGGAATGATTACTTTATGAAGGCTTAAGAGTACATTTAAAATATAAAATCAGCTTAGAAATACTGATTAAGAAAATATAAAACAAAAGAGCTGCATCATGTATTCCATAATATTTAATGTTGTATTCAGCAAGACAGCTGACTCTTACTACAAAGTTTTTGCAAATAAATGTCTGACAAACTTCAGGGCATATCAAAAAACCTGTGACTGACATTTTTATTTCCCAAATTAGTGCTTTTAATTAGGTACCTTCTGCATGTCCATTCTGCGTGAGGGAGAGGGTACGGGGGTCTCTGCAGGGAACTGTGACTCTCCACCACTGTGAGGCGGGCTGGGCGTCGTCTTATCCTTTGCTGCCTTGTCCCTCCCCCCCACCGCCGGGCTGCGAGCTCGGGCTGCCGTCGGACATAGGGGCACCAGTTTAATAATACTGCGTAGGGCCCCATAAATCCTAAGTATGGCCCTGCCCACTGATGCTTGCAGGGGGGGTGGGGAAGACTGGGGCATCCCAGGACAATCACTGCTGGGGGGGTGTGTCCCTGCTGGCCTGGGACCGCTGCTGGGGGGGGGGGGGGGGGGGGCGGTGGGGGGGGCCCCGGAGCCCCCCGAGCTGCTCAGGTGGTCCTGGGCTCAGTTGCACCTACCAGGTGCGGAAGTCACAGAATCTGTCACTTCCATGACCTCCGGGACAGACTCACAGCCTTATTTATGACACCATTGCATGAATCAATGGGACACTCTTCCCTGGGATACTAGGTTTGGTTCTGATCACTGAGCTCTAAAAGATTTATCGGGGGCGGGGGTGGAGAAAGTTCAGAGACAAGGGATGAAAGTGATCGGAGGTCTGGAGAGGTTTCTATTGGAGTGATTGGGATGGCTGAGCTAAGAGAAAAGACAAAAGCAAACATGATGGAGATAGACAAAATAATAAATGAGATGGGGAAATGGCAGTATGTAATTTACCACTGTCTCATAAAACAAAAATAAACTGAAGGCAACATATTTTAACTAGTTAAAGGGTGTGCCCTGTTATATACAATGCAGGCTTAACTTGTGGAACTCATTGCCACAATGTTTCCATGACTCCAAGAGCTCTATAGAATTCAAAAAAAGAATTAGCCATTTATATAGACAGAATCTCCACAGTTATGTTACATAGGATAAACTAATTGTTTTTAAAAGGGCAATAAGCCCTTAGGCCTGAGGACAAAAGGCCGTCACTAACTGCCAGGGTTGGGGGAAGTAATTTCCTATATGTGTATGTTATTCCCCTCCTGAGTTTCTTGCAGCTTCCCCTGAAACAGCTGAGTCTCACCTCAATCAGGGACAGGAGACCAGGCTAGATCCCGTCCGACAGTTCCTGTGTTTCTTTGGAAATAGTAGAATGCAGTTGAAAATTCTACCTGGGCAGATCCCATTTCATTGACCCTTTCTGTTTGTACCGTAGGAGAGAAGATCGAAGCATGTGTTAACAACTCTGGTAAGAAAGAAAAAAATGTGTTTTCATTGTTTTGAAAGTGACACACACTCTGTATTAAAGTGCAGAGCTGAGAGCAACCCCACCAGACAAACACGTCACATGAAACCAGTTGAGAAATAAGTGGGGTGAACTGCACGTTCTGTCTATTTATCCAGGTTCTCGTAGGGAGCTCATGACTAGTATCTGACACCTTCCCGTCTGACTCAATTCCAGGCACAGTTGATTTCAGAAAAGAAAATTTAAGGAGAATAACCCCTTAGAGGACTAAAAATTCATCTTCGTTGTTCTGAACTATAAGCTGAACACACATCCCCTAACCCAGCACCACAAGTGTGTCTCCATCTCCCTCCTCTCATAACTAGACCCATTCTAGCCCCCGTGGAACTACATTCTCTCAAAGGACTAAACAGGACTGTTTTACCAGAGCAGGTTGGAAAAATCTCAACAAAATATTTTCTTATTGGAATTTGACAATTTGTCAAACTCTTCACCTTTTGCAGAGACGGTTTGATTTCGACACTGTTCTGTCAGAACGCTGCCTGGGTTCTGGCCAGATCACCCACCTGGCTCCTTGGCAGCTTGGCTGGTGGACTGCCTAGGAGTCATAGACCCCAGGACATCCAGTGCCCCCAACCCTGGGACAGCCTGCTTGATGCACTGCCCCAGAGCCGACGCACCGTTCCCTTGTGTGGAGAATTTCAAAATTTGGGGTTTTTTTATTCCAAGTCTGAACAAAACCAAATTTTGAAATATCAAAATCCTCCACAAAATGGAATGAGCCTTCTCTGCCCAGCTCTACATTTTACCCCTAAGCCAATTAAAAACCCCAACAGAAATGGTGTTACTGGTGTCCGTGGCCAGTGTTTCAGACTCATGTCTTTATTACTCATAACTGGAATACACTTATGTGGCAGACAACAAGCTCCAAATCAGAGCCTCTGGGACTGTCTTGGGGGAAACGTGCTCACTAATGATTGATACCGAAGGAACAAGCAGGCTGAGGAGGGAGGAAGCAGGTGAAATATCTCACCAGGGAGGTGAATGTCCCAGGCTGGAGTGTCCTGCTGAAGGGAAATGGATTAATGTCCCTCTGCAATAAGCAGGTTCCAGCAGCTGTTGGGAAGGGTTCCTGTGTCCAGCTTTAAGGATCTCGGTCAGTGTGAAGTAATTTCCTATGAATTCTTAGATCTGCTTTTTCCTATTAACAGCTACCAGAAGAGGACTGGCCTTCCCCGGTGTTCTGAGCCCTTCACTGTTTGGAGGATCCGTCATCCTGATCCACGTTGCTGCTCTGAAGCTGTTTGCTGGTTTCTAAACTGTCCTATTTGTGTTACTCACTTTTTCTCTCTAACACAAATCATGGTGATGGGACTTGTCAGATCCAAAGCCGTCCTGCTATGCTGCCAGCGTTCCAAAGGGAAACCAGGAACCTGGAGGGAGTGTCGCTGGTACCTGCTTGGGCAAGCTTTGATTGTACGTTATCGATGAGTAGATCGAAATGGAAGCTCATAGTTCTATTCCAGTTGGGATTTCTCTTACAGTGCTAGCGCTATAAATGCACGTTAGATAAGTTACTTGTATTCCAGTCAAGCTAAAATTTTTGTACCAACTTTTGATGACTTCACTAAAAGACTTTTCAGAAATGAACTAAGTTGGAGTATTTTCATTATTACAATAGATGGGTTTAATCTGTGTCTCAGCCAGGTGAATCTGTAACTGCACAATTTGTGGGGTCCCATGTCTCTCTCTCTCTGTCACTTTCATATCAAATTTGCTCAGAAGATGATATTTCTCACTGGTGAAATCAAAGGTCCAACTGCAGCCGACATGTTCCAGCAAGGGGCAGGGCGTGTGTATGGATATTCTGAATAGTCAGATTGGGCCATCAGGAGGACACTGGAACTGGACACAGTTGTGACGGGATCCCCAGGGTGCAGCCTGGGACTGTGGGACCACTGTGCCCCCTGAACTCTCTCCAGCCTGGGCTGTCTCTCACAATGCCTTGCTAGCCACCAGGAGCAAACCCCTCCAGGCGCTGTGATCACTCAACACAACAGCATGTGGAGCCCCACACCCAGCTAGATTACATGAATGCTCCCAGAGCCACTCATGGATCACACAGGGAAAGGCACCAGAGCCAAATCCCCCCAGCTCCCAGAACTGTACCCCAGGAATATACTATCTTGCCCTGCTCAAGACGAGTGCAGTGCAGATTTATTAATTGGTTCACCACTTCAACAATGGTGAGTGGACATAGGTTTGCAAAGGCTGGTGTGAGCACATTTGCCACACACTTCAGGCAAACTCACTGGTAAAGATAAACAGTTAAATTTATTGATGACAAAAAGATATAGTCACTTAAAATCTAAGTGTTAGGCAAAAAGTCAGAGTTAGTTACCAAAAGAAAAAAAAGCACATACAGTCTAAACTCTCAACCCGATTAGACTGGGCAACGACTAAACAGTTTCTCACCCCACTGGATATTGCTGTCCTTAATGTCATAGGCACCAACTTTCAAAATTGCCATGGGGGGTGCTCCACCCCCAGCTCTGCCCTAGGCCATGCCCCCACTCCACCCCTAGCCCCAAGACCCCACTCCGCCTCATCCTGCCCCCACTCCACCCCTTCCACACCCCTTCCTGCCCAGTTCCACCCCTCCCCCGAGCACACCATATCTTCGCTCCTCCCCCCTCAGAGCCTCCCGAATGCAAAGAAACAGCTGATTGCGGGAGGCACAGGGAGGGAGTGGGGAGGTGCTGATCAGCAGGGCCCGCTGGCGGGAGCCAATAGGGGGGCTGATAGCCGGTGCTCAGCACCTACCAATTTTTCCCCTGTGGGTGCTCCAGGGCTGGAGTACCCATGGAGTTGGCACCTATGCTTAATATACAGGTTTGTCCCTTAAAACTGGGCCAGTTTCCTCTGTTGGAGTCTTCAGTTTTCTTCTGAGTGTCTTGGTTGCTTGCAGCATAGGTGGGGGCAGGAGAAAGACGAAGCATGGGCCTGCTCTGTTCTGTTTTATACCCTCAGTTCCATGTGCTTGTGGAACGCACAAGTCCAGGCATGTCTGGGGGCATTGCTGAGTCTCTAGGCAAGGTTGAGCAATTCCCCTGATGTGGCCTCGTGCAGGTGAGTCATTGAATTGTAGCTCCCTCGCTAGACAATGGCGGTTGATGGGTTGTTTGACACTCTGCCCAGGCGTTGGTTACTTTCCTTGCTGTTGCCTCTGGGGAGCGAATATCTGGATAATTCCACAATTTACAGCATGTTTTAGTGAAAACCATACAACACAATTCTCAACTTCATATGCATTAATGATATACATATATGAATAGAGAAATGACCTTCAGCAGATCACAACCTTTTCCCTGATACATATGGGGCAGGCCTTGTAAGGTAAGATAACGATTATATAAAAATAGGAATATGGGGGTTACAGGACGCTCCCTCAAGGCATAGACTGTCACAGCTGTATCAGTAATTGTCTTGCCAATTCAACTTCCTGCTCCTATTCTATATTCCAGTCCCTCATCTTGTAAGTGTGAGCTACATCCTTTGCTCTGTGTTTTAGATGTATTACAATGCGTTATTTAAAATAGCCCTCTTTACCAAGTACCTAGATCACTCCGACCTGTATAACTGACCTGTCCCTACCTATCATTATTTACCACTCCACCAATTTTTGTATCATCTGCAAATTTTACCAGCAATGATTTTATATTTTCTTCCAACTCATTGATAAAGATATTGAATACTACTTTGCTCCACAGAAGCCCATTTCAAACACCCCCATTGGATGATGAGTCCCCATTTACAATTACTTTGTGATATATCAGCTAATGAGTTTCGATGCCGTTAACTATGGACATTATGTCTAGTGCTGATTTTTTATTAGTATGTTGGGTGGGACTAGGTCACTTGCCTTAGAGAAATCTAACTCTATTATGCCAAACCAGTTACCATGAGCAGCAAAATTTATAATCTCACCCAAAAATGAAATCAGGTCCCGTTACCAAGACCTATTTTCCATAAAACCAGGTTGAATGGCAAGAATACCCAGCCTTTAATTCTTTATCAAGAGAACCTCATATCATCTTTTCTGTTATTTGCCTGGGACTGATGTCAGACTAACCAGCCTATAGTTACCCAGGTCATCCCACATACCCTTTCAGAATATTAGCACAACATTAGCATTCTTCCAATATTCTGAAATTTCCCTGGTATTCCAAGATTTATTAAAATCTAACATCAGTGGGCCAGAGATCCCCTCAGCTAACACTTTTGGGACTCTGATACACATTTTTAAATCAGCAGGCCTGGATAACTTGTATCCCTAGCAGATGTTTAGTAACTAAGGAAGTTTTTAATGGACTGTAAAGTACTTCATTACCCTGTGATACAAGTACACCATCTTGCTTCCTTTTTAATCAGAAATGTTCATTGAATGCTTCTGCCTTTTCTTCATCATTAACAATTTTATTGTCTCCATCTAATAAAAGGCCTAGACCAGTGTTAGTGTTTCCTTTGTTCCTAATATACTTTAAAAGCTTATGATCCTTAGCACTGCCAAACAGAGTTTTCCTTGATGTCTTTAGCTTCCCTTCTCTATTGTCTACACTTCATAACTTAATTTATATTGATTGCTATTTTTCCCCCCACTTTTCACATTTCTTATTTATAGTTTTATTTCTAAATGCTGCCTTCACTTCCTCACTGAACCAGAATGGGCTTTTAGCCCAAGTTCTCCTCTTTCTTCATTGTGGCTTTTTGGCCATCTAGTAAACTTCTTAAAGAGCTCCCAATTTTCATTCAGATTTTTCTGTCTACATTTTTCCCTCCCAATTAATTTCACTCACTTTCCTCAGCTTTGGGAAATTAGTCCTTTTTATTTGCCCATATTGAATGCAATCAGATCATGTTCCCTGTTCCTTAGGCAAACACCAACTTCCAGACCAGTGATTAATTCATCTGTATCTATCATAATAAAGTCCAAAACAGTGTTACACTGTATTTGGTGCAATACTTCAGGGTTTAGCAATTCATGTATAATTTTTAGAAACTGAAATGATGTTTTACTACTGGCTTCATGAGACCCCCAGCATGTGTCTCCCAAGAGCCATAACACCACAGATTTTCTGTCTGCACATTTCACAGTTGTTCTCTGGTTTGATTCAGTGGCCTGAAACAGAGCCCCAGCAGTACCATCGCCTGGTCTTTGTTAATTAGCACATTGATCCATGTGCATTGAAGTATCAATAATGTAGAGTGGCACCCACCCCCCACCTTTTACCTACTCTGGTCTTCCTGAACAGGTTATAACCAGTGATTTTAACATTCCAATCATGCAAATCAGCCCATCGGGTTTCAGTAACTCCATTCCCATCACACATCTTCTCAATGAGCATTTCCAGTTCCCCTTGCTTGTTACTCACATTCCTAGAACTGCTATAAGCATCTTTCAGAGATAATTCATGAAAGCTCCAGTCACTGTGAAGCCCACACACCTGATTAATCAATTAGCCAAAGACTGATTAAATTCACACCACCTATAGAAAGGTCTGACACAGAACTGATCAGAGCCATCAAACCACCCGGAAAGATTAACTTCTTGGTAAGATACAGAAAAGGCCAGGGCATGAGGAGAGGCAGTGGAACCTGCCCTGGGGTTCAGAGCTCAGCTGGGAGGGGCTACTCCGCCGCTTGTGATTGGGAGACAGATGAAACCTTGGAACCAGACGATTCTGGGGCAGTTGCAGAAGACGGATAGCTATTGAAAGAGCGGGGCCCTGGTGGCTCCTGGATCTGCCTAAGTGCATCTGTAACAGGGTCACACTCACCTCTCACAAGCACCCCCTGGCCAAGTGCATGTGCCTGCATCCTCCGTCTGTGGTGGCTCTTCCGTGACTCAGCCCTCTGGCCAAATCATACACGTGCTGTCTGTGAGATGAAAGCAACACAAACCCCTTTCGGGGTACAAGTCCAACAGGGGCCTCGCTCAGTGCCCTCTGATGTCTCTCTCTGTTTGTCCCTGCTCCAGAATAGAGCAGTGCCCCAAGGCTCGTTCCCTGGAGGCAGCGTCTTCACCCTCTCAGGGCCTCTCCGGCCCCAGCTCTTCATCTGGGCCACTACAGTTCAGTCCCTCTTCTGGGGTGCCTCAAAGTCAAGGCCACTTTACCAGTGGCTGGGGGCAGAACCAGGCCCACCCTCTACTCTGGGTCCAAGCCCAGGGACCCTATAGATAGCAACCATCTGTAATGTCCCTTTAAAGAAACTGTGTTGCTGCTGTAATTCCCTGGGCCACTTCCCCATGGCTCCGGCACATTCTTCACCCTTACCTCAGGGCCTTGTCCTTCTGGAGTCCCAGCAGCCAGCCTGGAGCATCCTCCAGCACTAGCAAGGAACTGAACTCTTTGTGGTCTGGCCCTGCAGCTCTTCTTATACTGACCTGCTGGGTCCTGATTGGCTGCATCCCACACAGCTGTTCTAGGCAGCTCGGGGGACCTCTCTACTGCCCTTTTC